GTGGATCGCTTGAGCCCAGGAGTTTGAGGTTGCTGTCAGCGAGGTGGACGCCACAGCACTCTAGCCCAGGCAACAGAATGAGACTCTGTCTCAAAAAAAAAAAAAAAAAAAGAGTTGTCTGACCAAGATCTATTCTGTCCCTCTTTATCTTCTTAATAACCTAGTTGTTGGTCTACTAAACATTCAAGACTCAGATATAAATGTTCTCTTAAATTAGATAAAAAGATGGGTATGCATAGCATTGAATGGAATGTTTTGATTGTACAGGACATTTTTATTTCCCATTCCACTAACTTGGAATTTTTGATCATTCAAACATAAGTTAGAATGAAGTTTACCTTTTATATCACCTAGAAAGAGAAAAGAAGGGTACTGTGAGAAGAATACATTTGGGTGGTTATTTTCATAAACAAATGAAACCACTCATTCATTCCACAAATTCCTATTAACCATTTATTTGCTAACTTGCCTCTACTTAATCTCTTTCCTTTTTGGACTTCCATGTTATGATATAGTCTCAATTTTTCTCATCTCTCAGACCATTTCTTCTCAGGCACATTGAATATCTCCTCTTCCTTCTTCAATCACTGAATGCTAGCGTTCTCCCAGTGTTTTGTCCTGAGGCCTGATCTTTTTTCATTGAAGATTCTTCCCCATGTATCTATGAGACAGGTTCCCTTCAGCCACTGAATGGCTAACAGAGCCTCCCACGTGCCTCACAGGGTCTATTCAGTGAGCAAGAGCATCCCAGGCCCTGGAAAAGATAATAACTCCCATCCTCCAGTAATAAATGCATTCTCTTGTAGGTTGTTTGTAAGAAATGTATTTTTAATTAAAGTGCTGAAGGGACAGGGGATTACTGGGCTCAACCCCAACCCCTCCGTCTTTGATTTAAATACCTGTGCTAATCAGTACTTCAGTTACTCATCACCAGACACACATACACACACACACACACCCAGCATTTGAAAAAACCCAAAACATAGTGGCTTAAAACAGAAATCAATTATTCTTGCTGATCTTACTTAGTTCAGCTGGTGTAAACAGGTTTTGGCAGGAATGAATTGGCTGTTCTCTGTATTTCTCTCATCCTCCTCTTGGGCTCATCAGGCCATTCCAGGAATGTTCTTGTAATGGCAAAGGCAAAATCTCACAAGGGGTCTTGAGGTCTAGGTTTTGAACTGGTCCATTAGCACATCTGCCTCATTTTTTGTATTGTGAGTAAAATATATGTATAACAAATATTTTTGTTTTATGTAATGCATAAAATATTACATTATTAATTTTAACTATTATACCATTTTAACTATTTTTAAGTGTATGGTTCAGTGCCATTACATATATCCACCTTGTGCAACTATCACCACTATCCGTTTCCAGAACTTTTTCATCATCTCAAACTGAAACTCTACACTCCCCATTCCTCTCTTATACTAGCCTCTGGTAACCATTCCTCTTTCTGTCTCTATAAATTTGACTACTTGAGGTACTTCATACAAGTGAAATCATATAATATTTGTCCTTTTGTATCTGACTTCTTTCACATAGCATGTTTTTAAGGCTCACCCATGTTGTAGCTTATGTCAGACTATCACTTCTTTTTAAGGTTATATAATAATCTATCATACACACCGAACATTTTGTTTATCCATCCATTGATGGGTATTTGGGTTGTTAAATCTTTTGGATATCAGGAATAATGCTGCTATGAACATTCATGTACAAATATCTTTTCAAGTCTCTGCCTTCAGTCCCTTTGGGGTATATACCCAGAATTAGAATTGCTGGAACATATGGTAATTCTATATTTAATTTTTTGAGGAAACACCATATTGTTTTCCACAGTGGCTGTTCTATGTTACATTCCCACTGTCAATGCACAAGGCCTCCAATTTTGCCACATCTTTGGCCGACATTTGTATTTTGGGTTTTTTGTTGGTTTTGTTTTGTTTTGTTTACTAATCTCCATCCTGGTGGATATGAAGGGGTAACTCATCATGGTTTTAATTTACATTTTCCTAAAGATTAGTTGAGTATCATTTCATGTGCTTATTGGCAATTTGTGTATCATCTTGGGAGAGATATCTCTCAAGTCCTTTTTTTAATTGGATAGTTATTGAATTGTAAGATTTCTTTATATATTCTGGATATTAATCTCTTATCAGATCTGTGAGTTGCACATATTTTCTCCCTTTCTCTGGGTTGTCATTTTCTTTACTTGATAATGTATTATATTACACAAAAGTTTTAAAGTTTGGTGAAATCCGCTGTGTTTTTTTTGTTGTTGTTGCCTGTGTTTTAGTCATATCTAAGAAATCATTGCCAAACCCAATGTCGTGGAGGTTTTTTCCCTATGTTTTCTTCTGAGAGTTTTATACTTGTAGCGTTTAGCTTTAGCTCTTCAATCTATTTTTAGTTAATTTACAAAAATAGTGTGATTTATTTGCTTATGGATATCCAGTTTCCCAGACCATTTGTTAAAAAGACTGTCCTTTCCCCATTGAATAATCTTGGTGCCCTTCTCAAAAACGATTTGACCATATATTTAAAGGTTTCTTTCTAGGCTCTATTCTATTCCATTAAGTCTATATGTCTGTCTTTATGCCAGTACCATACTATTTAGATTACTGTAACTTTGTAGTAAATTTCAAAATTAGAAAGTATGAATCCTCTAACTTTGTTCTTCTTTTTCAAGATTGCTTGAGTTTTTTGAGATTCTATATGAACTTTAGGATGAGATTTTCTATTTGCAAAATAAGGTTATTGGAATTTTGATAGGAGTTGCATTAAATCAGTAGATCACTTTGAGCAGTATTGACATCTTAACAATATTAAGTCTTTCAATCCATGAACATAAGATGTCTTTCCATTTGTGTCATCTTTAATTTCTTTCACAGTATTTTGTAGTTTTCAGCGTGCATGTTTTTCACCTCTTAGTCCATTTTGTGATGCTGTAACAGAATACTTGAGACTAGGTAATTTTTAATGAACAGAAATTTATTGACTCACAGTTCTGAAGGCTGGAGAGTCTAATACCAAGGGTGTCATGCAGGTTTGGCAGTTCTGACTCTAAGAGGGCACCTCGAATGCTGCATCCTCCTGAGAGGAGGAACAGTTGATCTTCACATGGCAAGGAGAAAGGCAGACAAAGGGGTCAAACTTGCCCTTTTATAGTGACATTAATCCCATCCATGAGGGTAGAGGCATAATCATCTCTTAAAGTTCTCACCTCTTAATACTGTCACAATGGCAATTAAATTTCAACATCAGTTTTGGAGGTTGGTGTTCAAACCATAACAGCCTCTTGGTTAAATATGCCTAAGTATTTTATTCTTTTTGATGCTATTGTAAATGAAATTGTTTTCTTAACTTTCTTTCTTGATTTTTCATTGTTACTTTGACATGTCTCATTTTATCAGCCAAATAAGTCACATGGCCAAACCCAAAGTCAGGACGGGGGGACATACAGCCCATCCATCATAAGAAGGCACTGCAAAATTACATGCCAGAGTATACCACTACCTCAAAAGAAATGTTTTTGAAAAATGCTGAAGGGGGAAAAAAAGAAGTGAGCAAAGAAAGAAGGAGGTAGCAAGGTGCCTAGGTAAACTGCTGGTGCCCAGCTAAACAAATAGCAGGTATGGGGGAAAGAACACAAGGCCAGGAGTGAGAGAGAGAATTCTGATCTCTGAGAAATCTCCTAACATCTTTAAGCCTCACCTTCCTCCTCTGATGGTGTGCTAGATGATTTCTCAGGGTCTTTCCTGAGCTAATAACCCTCCCATATTGTGTAAATTATAACAGTTCTGCCCCTAGAATAGAAAACAAGCCAACATTAGAAAATCCCTTCTCTTTGTAGATCCACAGGCACCCACACATCCAACACAGGCAGCCATCTGTCTCAGTGCATTCAGGCCGGTATAACAAAAATACCATAAACTGGTGGGTTATAGTTATAGAGGCTGGGAAATCCAAGAACAAGGTTTCAACAGATTTGGTGTCTGTGGGGACTTGCTTGCTCTCTGCTTCATAGATGGAGCTTTCTCAATGTGTCCTCACATGGTGGAAGGACCAAGGCAGCTTTCTGGGCTCTCTTTTATGAGGACAAAGCCCTCAGGACCTAACCACCTCCCAAAGGGGGCCCCACCTTCTAATACCATCACCTTGGTGATTCTGACTTGACATGAATTTTAGGGGGACTCAGATCATAGCACCATCTTTATGTCTCATAGATCTCATCATTTTCTACCTTACATTGGGTATCTTTAATTTTCAAGGATTCGTTGTGTTTTAAACTTCCAAATAAATTTTCTTTGGAAGGTAAGTTTCTGGGAGCACAGCAGCAAAATCAGAAAGTACACTGAATATAGAAGAATTTTATTTTCTCTCACAACTGAAGTATGTTTATCTGACCATTCTATGTTTCTCTGACAAAGTCTTAGGTAGAAACAATATCTCAGTTTAATATTTTGAAATCTTGTATCAAGAGATGTTCAATGACTATTTTAAAAAGTATAATATAGTACCTGTCCAGTGTAGCCTTGGCAAAAGTTTTCAGAAGACAAAGGTTCTTAACTTATAGAGAAATAAAATCAGTGTTTAAAGTTGTTTTCCTAGTCTCTGTTGGAAAAAATTGACTTGAAAATCACATAAAGAGTAAAATGGGGGGGATATTATACTTTTACCAATTAAAGTTTAATTCTCAACTATTACTATCTGGTGTGTTATTTTTCCCAACATATTATATTTGAAGAAGAAATTTCTGTCAGTAAAATCAGTATAGGAACTTACTATCTTGAAAATAAATGTTCAGTAAGTGAATATTAATTAGATCATTTTTTAAAGTTAGTCTAGGGTCATAAATAGAAATAGACACTTTATGTTCTCTAAGAATTTTTACTTAATTGAATGAATAATAGTCACTCTCCCAGAAGCCCAGAGAATACAGGCGTGTGTTCTTTTTTGGCTTTACCAATGGCTTACTCCTCCTCTCCTTCTAGGCTGCCCCATCAAAGGTCACCCTACCCCCAACATCACCTGGTTTCATGATGGTCAGCCAATTGCCACTGCCACAGGACTGATGCATCATATCTTGGAAGCTGGACAGATTCTTCAAGTTGCAAACCTCAGTGGTGGGTCTCAAGGAGAATTCAGCTGCCTTGCGCAGAATGAGGCAGGGATGCTCATGCAGAAGGCTTCTTTAGTGATCCAAGGTAAGAAACCCTTCAGGCTTTGGGTGCTGGGCTTACCTAATTGTCTAATAGAAGAGAGTGAGTCCTGATCTCCAGGGGTGCCTAGGGCAATGAAAACTGAAGCTGCACCATGTTTTCCATACAATGAGACTCTACTTCTGCCAATAGGGCTCTTCAGAGGAGCCACCAGGCCCTGTCCCAGCAGAACCTGGGAAAGTCAATGCTGCCTTCAAAAACGAACCCTTCTGTGCATGAGGCTGCACCAAGGAACCCCCCACCTGCATATCAAAGTCTGATGTGCTTCCTTGATGCTGATTTAACTAGTAAGGATCTCACATGCACACAGTGTACGCTGTTTAAGAAATGCAAGTTTTCTCTGATTATTTAAAAAAAAATCTCTTGATCTGAACAATTTGGTTATTGCCTCCTGACTAGAGGCTAGTGCCAGGGCCAACTGATCATTGTGAAGAGTCTTCAGCTGCAGTCACCTGCAGAGGACTTTCCAGGCACCTTTCCTTTGGTCCTGGCAAGGCGCAGACCGAGCAGCCCACGTGGCTCATGCATTGCCCTTCCTGGAAAGCAGGCGGGTCTGAAAGCCTTTGGCAGGGCTCAGCCTTCACTGTAGGAAGAAAATGTGAATGAGCCCAAAAGAGTGGGAAGAGAGTGAAAACTGCCTTTTTATAGAAACTATGTGATGCTTTTGAGTTTTCCATAGGCTGGTTCCACCTCTGGCCTATGTGTGATACTTTTAAGGAAAGCACAATTCTGCATGTATTCCAAAATGGAAGATTATGTAGGAAGGGACACAGTTTTGTGCCAATATGGCACAAAAGGGAGAAGATTTTTCTAAGCATGTAAGTTTTCCCCTTAAATATCCTTCCCCAGCATTTGACTTTCCAGATAGGAAAATAAATGCTCCATTTTCTTGCCAGCCAGCTATTCTCCGCTGAAAACCAGAAGCCACTGCCTATCTGCAAGACTTGTAATACACAGCATTTGCAAATGAGCACTCAGAATTTACCAGGTCACGATTATTTTTAACCGCTTTCCTACTAGTGAATCCCAGACCCCCAAACAGAAAAACCAAACAAATTGGCATTCTTACTGACGTCATTGTCTCACGTAAAGGAGAACTTTCTGGATGAGGATTTTTGTTTCTTTTGGTAACATTTACAAAATTCAACTCCAATCTGAACTTTTCAATATGCCAAGTATCTTAGATATATTTACATCTCTTCATAGAAAAATAAAGTACCTTAGCAAGCATGTTTAAAAATAATAAGAGCTATAGCATTAAGTACTCTCCGTGTGCCAGGCACCGAGCTAGGCCCAGCCCTCACGGTAACTTGATGAGGCGAGGGCCACTGTACTCCTTTTATGATTGAGCCAACTGAGTCCCCCGGGGACCATAGGACTTTGCTCAGATAGACTGGGAATGGCGCCACTTGAGGGGCAAGTCCTCACTCATAATCACCCCCGCCCCAGCCCACATGGCCACCCACCCCCTTGCTCTGCTTGGAAGGAATATGGAGCGTGGGCGGTAATGCTGTCGTCTTTTCAACTCCGCTGCTGCTCCTCTGACAGATTACTGGTGGTCTGTGGACAGACTGGCGACCTGCTCAGCCTCCTGTGGGAACAGGGGTGTGCAGCAGCCCCGCCTGAGGTGCCTGCTCAACAACACAGAGGTCAACCCGGCCCACTGCGCGGGGAAGGTGCGCCCCGCCGTGCTGCCCATCGCCTGCAACCGGAGAGACTGCCCTGCCCGGTGAGTGTGGCACACGCTGGCTCAGGCCTCCCTGCCACGCTGAAAATATCCTCAGAATGAGCCTCTGCCTGTCCCCTCCCCACTCGGCCAGCTCATGGCTAACAGCGCCTCCCAGGTGCCTCATAGGGTCTGTTCAGGGAGCAGGGGCATCTCAGGCTCTGGAATAAGATAGCTCCCATCCTCCAGTAAGAGACATACTCTCTAGGTTATCTGTGAGAGAGAAATGTGTTTTTAATTAAAGTGCTGAGGGGACAGGGATTACTGGCCTCTACCCCAACCCCTCCCTTTGTGTCTGCCTTTAAAATACCTGTGCTAATCAGTACTTCAGTTTCGTTGAGGAAATCTTAGCCTCTTCTTTTCTATAAAGGGTTACATCTCATGGAAGTTGGAATAAATCTCCATTCTCTGCCTTTGGGTTTCTTGTGTAGCCCAGAATGCCACCCAGGGTCTCTGCCTCTGACATCTTCCTCATACTTTGACGAGCTCTCAGGCCTATCATGCACCCCCAGGCTTCGGCAGTAGCTCCAGGGATAACGGATGGGGGCTTGGAGCTGGCACCAGGAGCCTGAGGGGACTCCCTATCTGTGGGACTTTCATAGGCTACTTAGGCAACTGCTTTGTGTTTTGCCAGCTGAGTCATAAGGAGCAGCTGAAACCAGGAGAGACTCAATGAAATCTGAAACACACTCATTAATATCAGCAGTTTGACTTGCTGACGGGAAGGTTTCCACGGGAATGATTAATGTCCTTTTATACCCTTCCTGAACTGTAACATAGCCCATACCTCTCCTTTCTCAAACCCCCCACCCCAGCTCCTGAAAAATTGCTGAAATGTATATTTGGAAATAAAAGTTGATTGAAATGCAGGCCTGACATTCACCAGGGATATAAGGGGCTGGAAGACTGCCCTTGCCAAGCTGTGCAAAATGAAGAAGAGATCTTTGACGTGCCAGGAACTTTTTGATTTGATTTGGTGATGGTCAGAGTCAATCAGCTTAATTTACTTCTGCAAATGCAATAATAATGGCTCTGTTTTCTTGGGTTTCAGTGCCCCCAGGAGTTTCAAAACACCTCATGCCTGCTTCCTAAGTGGCTCTGCTCCTGCGGGTTGGAAATCTGCACAGTCATCCCTCTCCAGGGAAAAAGAGCAGGGAAGTTGCCACAAAACTAAATAAGTCACAGATTTGGGAAGAATTTGCTCTCCTTGCCTCTCCTGAAAACCAGATGTGGTACCACTAGGCTAGGAGGTAGCCATGGGTTCACCCTTGACCAGTTTTCCTGCCAGGCTATTTTAGCATCCTTTCTTTCCATGCAAACAAGTATGGCCCTGGTTGTCTTTCTGAACAGAACTGGGAAATCCTGCTTTGACCCAGGTAGCTGTTTCAACTATTTCATGTTATATACATTTTTTCCCAAACTGTCTGCTTCCCTTCCTCTTTGAGAATTATCCCTGGGTACACACATGTAAGAGAATCGTGTTTGTATATGGACCAAGGATTACAGAGTATTCCCCAGATTACAGCTTGGCTTTATGAGAAAAGTCTATTTGTCATGGTCTTGCTCAGTCTTACTTCTGGGGACCCAGACTGTAGTTGGAACCTAATATTCTGAGAACAGCTATTTTCATCACTGTGCAGCTCTCTAAGAGATATAAGATATAGACTGTGACTCAAGGAGATGGGAAATTGCTGCTGGAAGCAACTGTGTATGAGACGTGGGTTAAAGTGAGGTACAGTGCACACTAAGTGCTACCAGATAAAACCTTGATTTAAGTGAGACCCAGATTACCTTCTGGGTCAGGGGTGACACAGATTTGAATCTGTCTTCCATAGGAAACTGTCTCTCCTCTGTTACATGCTTGGCTGCCTTGGGGAAGTAGCAGTATAGAGTACTATCTGCAATCTCATGGCCTTTGGGGCTAGAATACTCTTTCAAGGTGTACATTTCTGGTCAATTTCTCAAGTGTATTAGTAGTCTAAAACAACAGAACTTTATTCTCTCACTATTTTGGAGGCCATAAGTCCAAAATCAAGGTGTCAGCAGGGCCACACTTCCCCCAAAGGGTCCAGGACAGAATCTGTTCCTTGTTTTTTCCAGCTTCTGGTAGCCATGTCACTTGAGCTTCTGCCTTTTCCTGGAATGTAATGTCCCTCTGCCTTTCTCTTATGAGAACGCCTGTGAAGGCATTTAAAGCCTCCACAGATAATCTCTTCTCAAAATCCTTAATTATGTCTGCAAAGAACCTTTTCCAAATAAGGTAACATTCACTGGCTCTAGGAACTTGATACAGACATTGTTTGGGGGGCTGTGGCCCCAAAATTAGGAGCAGTGTGGTGATAGTGGGGACCAAGGGCCCTTTTCTCCCAGGCCTGGCCCTGTGGGCTCCACTGATGCTTTCTTCTGTCCCCAGGTGGATGGTGACCTCCTGGTCTGCCTGTACCCGAAGCTGCGGAGGTGGTGTCCAGACCCGCCGGGTGACCTGTCAGAAGCTGAAAGCCTCTGGTATCTCCAGCCCTGTGTCCAGTGACGTGTGTACCCAGCTCGCCAAACGACCTGTGGACACCCAGGCCTGTAACCAACAGCTCTGTGTGGAGTGGGCCTTCTCCAGCTGGGGCCAGGTGAGGAGCCAGAGAGGGTTTTATTTGTAAGGGAAACATCTAAAGGTGTGGACCCTGCCCCAGTAGAAAGGAAAATTCCACCATTGCCACCTCCTCTGTGATAACAGACCTTTCACATTCCCCTGTGTCAGTACCCCTGCCTTAAACCCCAGAGTTTCTGATACTCTTCTCTGACACATCACCACACCATTGCTCTTTTCCTGTTGATTTCCCTCTACCCTGAGGCCCCCATTCTCTTCTCACTGGGGCTGGTGACTTAAAGTTCTGAGAAGTTCCATCTGGGAGTGTGGTATTGTCCTCAGCCAAGGGTTCCTAGCTGGAGTGCATGGTTACAATCCCTGAGTCAACTTTTTTAAAAGCCTAACATTGAGGCTATTCATCCTAGAGATTCTAAGTCAATTGCTCTGGGGTGGGATCCAAGCCTGGGTCATTTTTAGAAACTCCTCGGGTGATGCTGATATCCAGCCAGGGTAAAGAACCATTGATCCAGCCAGCAAAGGTAGAAGCTTAGCCAGATCACTTTGTAACCACCCACTCCCTTCTCTGCCTATAGGTTAAGTCCCAGGCAAGCTGAGCACACAAACAGACTCGTTTGACCCCTGGGGCCTCCTCTGAATAGAATAGAGGAACCATGACTCTCTCCATTTGGAGGGGAAAGTTTAATTGTGATTTGAAATAAGGCCTCTATTGGAACAGTCATCCTACACATCTGATCCCTCCACCATTTTAGAATGCTGTTGGCACCAAAAAAAAAATGAGGTGCTTGGGGGAAATGATATAATTGCATATACTCTGTTTCTGCAGAAGTCTATGTTCAAAACCTACTAGGCATGCAAGAACTACCTATTTGGGTAGTAACATTTATTCTAGTTTGTCTGTGGCTGGCACTAATTAGTAGAATCACCATTCTGATTGGGCAGGCATAGTTTTGGGTTGGTTGGCATCTGAGCCATACCATTAAGCGTGGCCAGCTAGGACACCCCAAAACAACAGGCTTTTAATTCTTTGTGTAACTGTATTTGGCCATATATTCAGGTCCCTTCACTCCCACCCCCAGGTGTGATTTTTGCAAAACAATCACACCTTACCACACTATGGCCATCTCTTATGAAGATCAAATGTTACTGGCCACTGAGTTCACTTGCAACTCATAAGCCATTTGTGGACCAGGTAAATCTGGGGCAATGCTGGCCAATCAACATGTCTGTCTGGAGCCTCCTTATCTATACTTCATAATCATGGAGCTCCCATGCCCTCAAGGGTTATTGCTGGTTTGTGATAGTGAGCACATCAGGCAACATATGGTACACAGTTGATCACTTTTCCTAACAGAAAAATACTCAGGTTTTTTTTCTATTCCTTCTCCTCAACCATCCCCCAAATCCACTAGACCAGTGTGTATCACCTGGGGGTCTTTATTCTCATGTGGTAGGTCGAGGTAGAGCTTGGGATGCTGAATTTCTAAAAGCTTCCAGGTAACACTAGTTACAGGGAAATATTTCCTCATATGCCTGCCTCCAAGTCTATGAGAAGCATGACAATATCTTCTTAGCTCCAACAACCTGCCCTCAAGTAATAATTAAACATACATTTATGGGACACCTGTCTTGGGTATATAATGTGTCCTATATGAGCATGTGTGAAGGAATAAAGGCAAAAGCAGATACCAGAACATAGAAATATTTTCAAGCAGGCATGGGACAATCAGAATTGGACTTTTATTCTGTTAGCAGTATGGTGATCAGTACAGAACTAGGCATCCATTGGCTATCAGGGATGACACCAAGATTTGGCTGGAGGTTTTGGATATGTTCATGAAACATCGAAGCAGAGATGCTCATGAAAGTCATCAGTATATAAGTGGTGGCATCACCCAGGGAGTGGGCAAGCATGGGATGAAAAAAAGGGACAGGACCTTGGTACTAATTAAACTTTGGGAAGAAGGGGGAAAGAAACCCCCTGGAATGTATCTTCACAGAGACCCATGGAGGACCTTTCGCCAGAAGAAAGGATCAAAATGCATCCAAAAGAACAAACAAGATAAGCATTGGCCAGTACCTGCTGGAACTTGACTGATAGGAGGTGACTCTGTGGCAGTAGGGATGTAGTCAAACTAGCAATGAGAATGACGGAAATAATAGTCCTTTAAAAATTCCCCCATGTGTGGTTGAGGGACATCAGCAAAATGGCAGATGAGGAGGTTCAAAGTCTTTGTTCCCTCGTGAAAACACCTGGACACTGGCTGAGCTGCCCCTATATGAGCTCTAGAAAGTTCTCCAGCAACCAAACACTCAATTTTGTGGCATTTTCAGTTACCCTTGCATGGCAAAGTTATGATATTGAGGAGGTGAGACTCTGGGAAATTAAGACACTCACATTCAGCCATATATGTAAAGGAATTGAGAAGCTAGAAGGAAGAATATAATAGACATAAGTAACAGAGAAAATCCCATACAAATATTGATGTAGAAATCCTCAACAAAATACCAAATTTAGCAGCTTATTTGAATGAGTAGGATTTATTCCTGGAATGTAAGCCTGATTCAACATATGCAAATCCATGTAATGTACCACAATTAACAGACTGAAGGACAAAAACCACATGACAAATTAAACTTGGAATAGAAGTAAATTGCCTCAACAAAATGAAGACCCTATATGAAAAACACACAACTAATGTCATACTCAATGGTGAAGACTGACAGCTTTTCTTCTAATATCTGGAATAAGACAAGGATGCCCACATTCACCACTTCTATTCATTATAATATTAGAAGTTCAGAGCAATTAGGCAAGAAAAAGAAATGAAAGGCATCCAAGTTGGAAAGGAAGATTAACTATTACAGCTAATAAATGAATTCAATAAATTACAGGATACAAAGTCATCATGCAGAAAATCTGTTGTATTGCTACACACCAACAATGAACAATCCAAAATGGAAATTAAGGAAACAATTCCATTGACAATACATCAACAAAAGAAGTAAAAAAAAAACTAGGTGAAAGACTCATACAATGAAACTACAAAACAGTGTCAAAAGACACAAATAAATGGAAGAAACATCCTGGGTATCACAAGCAAAATAATTAGTTGGACCCTCACCTTATACCATGTATAAAAAACATTTCATGACATTGGATTTGTCAATGATGTTTTACATATGGCACCCAAAGCACAGGTGATAAAGTACACTTTCCATTTACCCCGAATCTCCTGTGTCTTTGTGACTAATAGTGTCAAACTGGGCCCCATCAGAGCCCACAAATGCAATAACTGGCCTTGGGCATGGTTGTCTTCCCCGAGAGGCCTACTTTTACCTTAAATTGTTCTCCTTCAGTGGTTCTTAACCTTGGAGGTCAGGGATCCCTTTGAATACCTGATGAAAGCGAGAGGGAACCTCCTGCTAAAAAATGTCAATAAACACAAAATTTCTGCTTATACCGCTAAGGATTAACACCCCACCACTGCCCTCTATGGAACCCTAGGGATCCAAGGACCCCCAAGTTAAGAGCCTTTGTTCTCAAGTGACCCCCATGGGATGCCTGTTCTCTTGTTCTACTAAAATAGCAGATGTTGGTTAAGGGCCTGCGGCTTTTGTATTTTATGGACAAGTGTTGTCATGGGTACTGCTGGGAGAGGGTCGGACCCTGCTAACTCTGGGAGAAGCTTAACAGTCTCCAGGAGCCCACAGCAAGAGAATATGAGAAGGGACTGTACATACCTACATCTGCTTTGTGTTCAGCCGTCCTGGGTTTAACCCGGAGAAAATGAAGCCAAGGGAAAGAAAGACATGGAGTTGGTTATTTGAGTGAATTTAGCAAGAAAACAATAAGTCCAATTACTCTCCACACTGAAGGAGAGAGGGGAGGTCCTTTAGGTCTTCAGCTCTAATATCTGCCACCACATTCCTAGCACATTATGCCAAGACACCTTTCATATGGTTAATCTGAGAGGGGCTCACTTTCCCCGACTGGCTCTTTGCTAGCATGTGGCTAATGGTAGTAGAGTGCCCACAGGAAAGCTAACCGTCGCACTATGGAATAAAGAAAATATGTCAGCCGGGCACAGTGGCTCACACCTGTAATCCTAGCACTCTGGGAGGCCGAGGCAGGTGGATTGCTCGAGGTCAGGAGTTCAAAACCACCCTCAGCAAGAATGAGACCCCGTCTCTACTAAAAAAATAGAAATTTATTGGCCAACTAATATATATAGAAAAAATGAGCCGGGCATGGTGGCACATGTCTGTAGTCCCAGCTATTCAGGAGGCTGAGGCAGCAGGATTGCTTGAGCCCAGGAGGTTGAGGTTGCTGTGAGCTAGGCTGACGCCACGGCACTCACTCTAGCTTGGGCAACAAAGCGAGTCTCTGTCTCAAAAAAAAAAAAAAAGAAAAGAAAATATGTTTGTGGGCAGGGTGTGGTAGCTCACACCTGTAATCCTAGCACTCTGGAAGGTGAGCGGATCGCTCAAGGTCAGGAGTTCAAAACCAGCCTGCGCAAGAGCGAGACCTCGTCTCTACTAAAATATAGAAAGAAATTAATCGGCCAACTAAAAATATATAGAGAAAATTAGCCAGGCACAGTGGTGCAAGCCTGTAGTCCCAGCTCCTCGGGAGGCTGAGGCAGGAAGATTGCTTGAGCCTAGGAGTTTGAGGTTGCTGTGAGCTAGGCTGATGCCACGGCACTCTAGCCTGAGCAACAGAGCGAGACTCTGTCTCAAAAAAAAAAAAAGAAAGAAAATATGTCTGTGAACATCCTTCAGTTGGCCACCAGATCTAAGAGCCTCCAATTAGACTCTGCACAAGGATCTTGTATCTCATGCAGCCTCTACCCTGGACTTGGCTAACATCATGTACATCACCTTTGTCTGCTTTCCTCCAGTGTAATGGGCCTTGCATTGGGCCTCGCCTAGCTGTGCAACACAGACAAGTCTTCTGCCAGACCCGGGATGGCATCACCTTACCGTCAGAGCAGTGCAGCGCCCTTCCGAGGTAAGAGAAAACCCTGGACCTCCTCTCCTCCGCCCCTGTGCCAATAGCACAGAAAGACGGTGGTGAGTGACTGTTTCCCCTCCAGGGGTCACACCTCTGCCCTCTCTCCTCCATTCGCCCCTGGTTCCGCAGAGGTAGATAGCTCAGTGGTAGCCTTGTGCTTGTCTAAGGGGCCAGGCTGAGTACACAGGGTGTTCTTCTGACAGACCTGCACTAGCCCTTCACTCTTGTTGACCTCCCCCTAGAAGTTAGACTAAGATGAGAACCCTTGTTCCTGGGTCCCAACCTATCATTCCTATCCAGTCCCTATCCCTATCATACCTCCTTGGAGATGTCCCTTTTGGGGGAGGGCTCAGCACCCCACCTAAAATTCTGGCCCTTGAGACCAGGTTCTGCCAGCCTCCACCCTGGCTGGAGCTCATTTTTGGGTCACGCAGTGACATCTACATTGTAGAGGATTGCAGATGGAGGCCCAGTTGGAAGAATGAACCTTCTTGAGATATTATAGCCCTTTAGTAACAGAGCAGAGATCAGAGCCCAAGTCTGGCAATACTGGAAGTTCTCGAGGAGTGGCCCGACCTTCCTGGGTTTGCAGCATTGTTTTCACATCTTCCCCTGCCGATCTTAACCCTGCCACCTTCCTCCTGCAGGCCTGTGAGCACCCAGAACTGCTGGTCAGAGGCCTGCAGCGTACACTGGAGGGTCAGCCTGTGGACCCTGTGCACAGCAACCTGCGGCAACTACGGCTTCCAGTCCCGGCGTGTGGAGTGTGTGCATGCCCGCACCAACAAGGCAGTGCCTGAGCACCTGTGCTCCTGGGGCCCCCGGCCGGCCAACTGGCAGCGCTGCAACATCACTCCATGTGAAAACAGTACGTTCCCACCCCAAAGAACCTTCTGCAAATTCCCCCCAGGGCATCGAATGCAGAGGGCAGTCCTTGGGACCATGTCTCAGCATAGGGCCTTGGATCAGCTTTCCCAAGGATTATGAGCTGGGGTCAGAGTTGAGCATTTTCAGTGGGGTACATGTCCAGGCCATGCAAGATGGCAGAGTGTGTCCTCAGGGCTTCCACAGTCTGCATCCTGGCCCTGGGAGAGCCAGGTGCTGCTGGCCCAGTGCTGGATGAAATTGGCCTCCAATCTAGCTGTGCCCACTGAGTAAACAATGGCCCTCAGGGGCCAGGCTGCTAAAGAGAAAGCACCGTTAACACCGGAGCAGCATAGAGCACCTCCTGCTTAGCCAGGCAGCTCTGCACCTCTCACCAAACCGGGACCTGCTGCCACCTCCCTCCTTCCCTGCCCCACGGCATCCACCAAACCCTGCAAGGGTCTGGATCCTCCTTAGCCCAACACCAGCATTGGTGTTCCAGTTGGGGAAGGATCTAGTTTTGTTTCCTCTGAACCCAAAACCCAAGTTGGAAGTGTTTTCCCATGAGGAAGACAACAAAGTTTGAGGCAAAGAATAGGGAATTAAAACCAAATCTAGGAGTGCAGTCTTCCCCCAAAGTGAGTTTCACTGACGATAGAGTCCCAAGGCTAAGGCCAATGCCCTGTGAGTTGCATTTAACTCTTGCTGGTTTTGAGCCTGGGGCCTCATGAAGCATATGAAACTCACACGTCCTTCACCTTGGGAGCTGCAAGAACTATTTTTCAAGTTGCATATAACTCATGTACAGAAAACAAATATTTCATTCAATTAAAAAGGACCATTTTATTCTGTTTCGTAAGAAAACACTATGGCCCCAAGGAAAAATTTGCGGTAGTCACTGTGTGTCAAACACTGGGGAAGGAGTGACCTTTGCACTCTGGATTAGCACTCACCTCTATTTGTGTCAGGACATGCTCAGAGAACACCAGTGCCCAATGCAGGCAGTTGAGACAGACTTACCGGAACGCCATGGTGCTGTGTTCACGGCGTGGCGGGAACAGAGGCGCCTGGGTAGAGAATGAAGAACACAAAGCTTAGCAGAGACAGTAAGGCTCAAGTGCCCGGGGACAACGAGGGCATCCATGCTGGTGCCACCCCCACTGTGGGCAGCCTGGGGGGTAAGTGGTTGGGCTCTGCCAGAGCCAGGCCCACCCAGAGCGGCTGGAGAGCGGTGGCCGAGGCAGTCCCCAGGAAGCACCCCCAGCCCAATGCCCAGGTTGTACCCCCGTGCCTGCCTCTGTTTCACATCTGTCCTTGTCCCCTTTCCCAGTGGAGTGCAGAGACACCACCAGGTACTGCGAGAAGGTGAAACAGCTGAAACTCTGCCAACTCAGCCAGTTCAAATCTCGCTGCTGTGGAACCTGCGGCAAAGCGTGAAGACGGCCCGGGGACGAACTCTACCCTGGCCGTGCGAGGCACTCGCGTACCCACCTTGGACAGAACTTATACTTTCTTCATTTATTTATTTATTTCCCCCCTTCACCCCCACCCGCAATCAGGAGGATCTCTGCACGTTTCCCTTTTGGTTAGCCAGAGGGCAGAATGGCAGGAAAGGTTAGCCGTCTACAGGAGGCTGCCGGGCGGGCAGCAGGGGCTCCCAAGCCTGCGTCTCAAAGAGACCGAGGAAGAGGCAGGGACTGCAGGGAGCCAGAGGGTTTGGAGAGTATTGGTGCGAACATTGTACAACCAACTGTGTCTTTCCTAGAAGCACGTTGTCAGTGGCCCCCTCTGCCGTGGTGAGGACAAGGGCAGAGGGGACCCTATGCTGAGGCAGAAGTTGGCCCAGAACTCGGTTCTTCTAGTGGGGGGCGCAGAGAGACAAGAACTCAAAACATGGATAAGTAGACAGGAAGGAGGAAACAATCAAAGTAAGTCTAAGGCACACAATGATGTGGAAAATAAAGGAGGGAAGGGACAGAAGCAAAAAGAAGCCTGTGTCTGTGCCTCCGTGGGGAGGGAGGCGTGAGCAGGCAGGAGGGGCTTCCAGGCAGCCCTGTGAGGCTCTGACCCACCCCCGTGCATGCTGGGGCGTGCTCAGAGCTCCACTGCCCCCCTCCGCAGCGTGCCTGCTGTGTGGTAGGAGATGAGCTCTCCGTGGTGGAGGGAACGTCCCCTGCCCACGCAGCAAAGCCAGCCAGAGATCCGTGTCTGGCTGTGCAGTAAGGCTGCCCCTGGCTCCTCTTCATCAAGATTCCCCTAGCCCTGACCTAACTGCTGCTGTGGGCCAGGGGCATTGTGAGATTGAGTTGGCCTGGCTTGCTGCCTCTATGGCTCTGCTGTTCCAAATCCATGCGCCACAGCATCTACCAGGTTGTAGCAACCACTTCATTCCAGAGCTGGCCAGAGACCAGGGTGGGACAGTGGATTCATGCGTGCCCACAGCATGCTCTGCCTCTCCCAGCTGTCACCCTGGGGTCTGCAGGCCCTCTCTTAGCACCAGGAGAGCTGCTGTGTGTAGTATTTATCCTAGTAGGTTAGGGCCAGGGTGGGGAGCTGGGGCAATGCCCAAGGATAGCTGAAGCTTATAACACAGTCCTGGATGGCTCTTCAACCTGTGCACCACACACAGCGAAATCCTTTATAATAATCAATGTACACCCGCATTGGTGATCTAGTAATTAATTCAGCAGGCAAAGGCATGCAATGAGATGAAAACTGGGACTCCTGGGCAAATTGCTCCTGCAGCCCAGCCGGGCAGCTTTGGGCGAGTCGTTTTTGCCTCCTTCCTCTGTGTGGCCCTAGTCTAGTAGGCAGGGAAGGGTGGCCACAGTCACTCACCCCCTAGATTAGCCTCCCCTCACGTACACACTCATGAAATGCCACTCGCCCTGGGGCTACCACTGACGCCAGCCAGCCTGGAAGTAAAATTTGGGAGGAACACAATATTAACCTGTGTCCTCCCTGGGTGAGCTGTGGACAGGTAGTTTGGGTTTCTCTCTTCCTCACCCTGAAATAGGCTCTAAGAAATCATGTTACTAAAAATCAGTGTAATGTTTATTTAAAATAAAAGAGATTGTTTTCTATGTATATCTTTTGTGAATATTTATTAGGATTTCTTGTATAAAAAAGTGCAATATTAATAATTGTACATTGTCATCCAGAAAAAAATATTTGGGGGGACTTTTTATTAACTTCCTACAGTTGTGTTCCTGTAAACTCAGTGGTGATTATTGTATTTTTCCTATTTTTAATAGAACCCAGTGTTTAACTCTGGAGCCATTCACTGTGTGCAGAATACATTGTAAAAACTAACATGGGATGCCGGGGCAGTAAGAGGGGATGCATTTGTGACAATAGTTATGCATGGAATGATGAGGACAACTTCCATAATACTACTAATGTGGCTGATTATTTCTAGTTCAATAGCTATTGATAAAGTCTGTGGCCAATATTTACATTTCCTAATGGCATCCTCCAGCTCTGCCACATGCCAGGCTGGCGCCGTTGGCAGTGGGTGTCAGAGCGAGCTGGAGGGCCTAGGTTTGAGGCAGAAAGCGGCATGGCTCCTTGCATGAGATGAATGTACATTTAATGTTTGTTCTGTGAATTGCGACTCAGCGGCACCGCAGGATTGTTAGGGCTGCTGGATAATGTGGAAGGAGACAGTTCCTCCTCTAAAACACATAACTGTATTTGTATTTTTTGTACAGATAATACAGCTTATTTATTTAAACCTTGTCGTCCGAGTCTCTATTAAGCTCAGCCTTCCCATTGTGGTCTATGCAGCGGGTGAGAAAAGTCGGTGTCAACCGGGTGGTTCCCAGCCAGTCGTGTGTGTTTGGCTGAAGTGGAAGAATTGTAGTTTTCAGCTTTGCATGGGAAGCTGGGGGCCCACATCTGGAAGGGCCAGCTCTGTAAATGAACCCCGAGGGGCTGCATTTGTGGACGTGCACGCATTCAGGCTGAGCGCTGCCCAGTGAGATGACAATCATCTCATTTACAGCCCTCTGCGGTGGGAAGATGGGAGTCACCGTACCTTCAGGGAGAAGAGCACGCAGGGGCATCCCTCGGGACACACGCAGACTCGGGTGTGGGAGAATCTTCTCTAAGGTCAGGCTTCCTGCCCGCAGAGGCATACGGTGTGGAGCAGCTGTGTGATGACATTTTGGATATACACCATTAATAAAGGCTAGCATTTATAGATCACTACTACATCTAATGCTCACATCAACCCTATGATTATCCCCATCTACATATAGGTAAATGGCAATCCAAACAAGCCCAAGGTCACCCAGCTGGTGGAACCAGGATTCAAACTCAGTCTGCCTGCCTCTAGCCAAAGCCTCGCTTTTACCCACTGCACCGCCTCCGCCCCTCTGCTGACCACGCCATGGCCACATTAGCACACACACCGCTCTTTCCTACTGCTTTGAAGCTGGTAGCTAACGACAGTGGGACATTTTACGGGAGATGTTGCTTTCTCCTGCCCTAAAATCCATTCTTTTGGCATTATGGTGCTTCTAGCACCCTATTTTAACAGAAATACAGCGACTGTAGAAAAAACAGAACCACATTTGTAGAGCTCTTCATAAACAGGCTCTAGTGAAAGGGCAGCATGTCCCCAGGCCCAGATAATGTCCACACAGGAACCATGGTGAGAGATGCTGCAGAGGACATGTGGCCTGAAAGGCAAACTCCAGCCTGTTTTCCAGCAACTCCCCCTGCACATCACACTCCCGTGGAAGGAGCAGTGAGAAACTATACCAGAAGCTCTTCTTGAAGTTCCAATCATTTTTTAAAAGTTTTAGGTTTTGCATTAAAGAAAAAGCCAATACTAGAACTATTAATATCCACAAACCAGCAGTGAAGCAATGTCCTACAGAGGGCTCAGCACCAGGGGAGGAGCTGGAGATGCCAGAGCAAAACATCCAAGAAGGCTCCCATGGTGGGAAGGGCTCATACAGAACGTATGGACATTATTCCAGCCACAATCACAGACATCAACAGAAAGAAAAAGAAAGATTCCTACCAAGATGCAACTAACCACAGCGTAAAAGTTTGGAATCTTAGCCACAGGCCAGTCCTGGGGTTGTAACTTCTCCAACTAGAGTCCCTGCTTAGCCTCAGATTGATTTCCAGGCAATCCATGTGTCCATTAACACCAGAATGATCAACAGTCACCAAAGCTCATTCATCCCTCACCTGTAAAAGGAGGATACCACCCAGGGTAGGGTTGGTGTGAGAAAACTTTTAGTTCATGCATATTGAAAAAATACAAGGGTACCTGGCATATCACTGAAGCCCTCATCGAATGTTACTTGCTATAACCTTCATAGTCAATTGGAAGGAGAGCATATATTGTGTTATCAGAAGGTCACAACTGACAGAATTTTTGCTATTTCACGTTATTTCTCACTGTCAGCTTTAAAGACTCTCTCGTGTTTCCAGTTTGAGAGGGAAATTGGTCATTCCTTCCAAGCTCAAGACTACATAATAGTATAAACAAGAGAGGAGTTAGTCAATGAAGTTCTATACCTTGGAAGAAAACAGAACAATCCATGTAGCCAACTTGAAGACTCACCAAAATACAAACTTCCAGAAATACTTCTCAGAATATTTTAAATGTTCTTATAATCCCAGTATACAGCCTTGTCTGTGTGCAAAATACCCAAATGTTCGTGTAAATACCATTTCTTTTGTGTTACTAAAAAACATGGAGACATATTCATGAGCAAATATAAAAGTAAAAGCTAAAATTAAACATATCTCACTTGCATGTAGTACAGTTTATCATACATGGCATGTGATTTGCCCCTTGCTTCATCCTGCAGATACACCCAAAGGAAATAATCCAACTTTATTAATGGTTCTCAACTACAATGATATCTCAGTGAGATCTCAGTAATCTATCTGTGGAATTCCCAAAGGTAGTCAAAGCCATCCACAAAGGGTTGGGGAACGGTGGCTACAGAACAGGATGGAGCACCTGGGAAAGTACACAATGAAAACTGACCTGTTAAGTGAATTAACCCAAGGAAGGCTAAATTAGGAAAAGATATAAGGTGTAAGCCCCTTGGTCTTGTCTCTCTGTGTCCCTCATTTTGTTCAGTAAACCAGCTATGATTTAAAGACTTTGGGATTTAGACTCATGTGCACCAGATGTGAGCTAAATCAGGGAAGGTTATCTCCCTCTGTCACCTACTGCCAATTAGGACATCAGTGTTGATTCAAGCCTTGAAGTAAACAGCAAAGAATTGAATACCCAGTGAATTCTACCAATTCTCCAAATTTAACCCCAAATTATCCTCTGCTCCCATCCACCCACCCAGCCCATTCACTTGGAGATACCTTTAAAGATAATGAGCTTTTCAGAGACTGTTATCTTTGGCCACACCTCAGCTACTTATTCATAGCACCCCAAGGTTTTCAACTGTTTTGTTGCCCCCTCCAAATTGGAAGGAAGATGTTGGTAATCAAGGCTTTGCTAAAAGAACTAGGCTACCGCCTTGCTTTTCAACTAGAGGTTTACACCTTCGCTTGGGTTCTGGGAGCCACCTGGTCCAATCGACCACATGTGTCACGCCTCCGACAACACATTATATGCTCACCTCTGTGTTTTCAAAAGGCAAAACCCATCTTCAACCAAGGATTTCCCAGGCTGCTCTTAAATATATGGTTTATATATGTGTAAACAGGAATTAAATGTGTGGTTTTATGTGAGTGAGAAAACAGCAGACAGTGGGGAATGGTTCTCCCGCCGAACGTAAATAATGTTTGTTTAACAGAATGTTTAGGAGAGCCTGGGAGATTGCACAGTCAGCATTCAGACCAGAAAGCATGCCTGAGAAACCTGCCTCCTCCTCCAGGACTTCGTGATGGCCAGAGCTGACTTCCTTACAAATCCCATGAAGGACAGTAGACGAGCTATGAACAGCTTAGTTACCAGGTGAGCAAATTTAGGTAATAGTTAATGGTCAGGGCCAGTTAATGGTCAGGGCCATGGTGACAAAGTGTGTTGAGAGGTTGGTTTTCTTCCCCTCAAAATACCATCATTTTTCAAATAACAATGGAAGGGCCAGGAAATGACTTAGCTGAGGTCAGTGAAGAATGACAAAATTGTTCAGTCTGTCACCCATGTACAGACATTCCCTGGCTTATGATGGTTTGACTTATTTCTGACATCACAACGCTGCAAAAGCGATATGCATTCAGTATGCTCCTCAACTTGCGATGAGGCTATGTCCGGATAAACCCATCATAAGTTGAAAATGCACTTTTGACTTTATGGTATTTTCAATTTACGATGGGTTTACTGAGATGTGATGCCACCATAAGTCGAGCAGCACCTGGAGTTCTGTCCCATGGCTAGACCTCAGCATGCCACAGTGCCAGAGCCCAGAGCAGTGACAGCTCCGTGGACTCCTGAGCCCAGTTCCTTCAGCCTGCGCAGCCTCCACCGGCCGCCCCTCGCTACTGAACTGGAGAGATTCCAGGTGACCCCGAGAGCAGGCCCGTGATCCGAGTCCTCCACCCCTTGTGCACTGTGAGGGTAAATGCCTTTGCACTTGGGGCCAGTGGGGTTGGAAAACACAGTCCTCATCTGGCACTAGTGGTCCCCGTCCTACCTCCCTGCTGCCAGATGAGCCTCGATCCCTTCTCATCTCATGTCCTTCCTCCTGGTTTCTTTTCCCTTCACATACCTTTCCTTTCCTTTGCAGTTTGACACACTCCTGGCTAAGCACCAGCTCTGGGCCAGGGGGACACAGAGGTGACAGCCTAGACCCTGCTTGCCAGGAGGATGATGCTGGCTGCGCAGCATCCAGCTGTCCCACCCTGGCACTCCCCAATCAAGGTGGATGGCAACTCTGTTCTTCCAGTCACCCAGACCCCAAGTTCTGGAGTCATGCTCGAGCGCCTCCTATTCCCAGCCCACATCTAGTCAGCAACTCCATGTGGCCCCCTTCTAAAACATACCCAGAATGTGGCACTTTTCTCACGGCTCCCACTTCTACCCACCAGGTGGGTGTGAGCTTGTGTGACCTTCTCACGACCAGGCCTTGCTCCCACCCTCACACCCCTGCAGCCCCCACAAGCGGTTAGGGTGCCCATAGTGACAATTGCCACACACACCAGAACTTGACGCTTCTCAGGCCCATGCTGGATGTTGGTGCCCCTTGGAGTATAAACCAAATTCCTGGCAGAGGCCTATGAAGCCCTCACTGGCCTCCTCGCTGCTCCCCAAACATACTGAACAGAACATGCCCGCGTGGGGGACTTTGCTCTCGCCGTGTCCTGACATCCTCTTGGCTCCCTCCCTCATCTTCCTCAGCCCTCTCATTCCCCCTCCCCCTGTGGTGAGGCCCTTCCTGACCATGACACGAACTACAGCCTGTGCCCCCCAGAACCCCAGCCCCTCCATCCCCACTGGCTTTTCCTTTCTCCACGTGCTGATGGCCTTCTCACAGGTCACATAATGTACTTACTATGTGCTTACTATTATAATGATATGTTTAGTATTTTAACCATATCCCATGGCATAATTATATCATCTAATCGTTCACGGTTTATTATGCTTATTTCCTGTTAATGAACGTCTGGCTTCCCCACTAGACTATAAGCTCCCCAAGGGCAGGGTCCGAGTCCGCTTTGTTTACTGACGGAGCTCAGAGGCTCAGAGCGCGCCTGGCACCCAACGCACACTTTCTGAAGGAATGAATAATGTACGTCCGCACGTATGGACGGAAGGATGGAGGCAGAAGGGGCAAGCAGCAGCGTGGTCAGTGCTTGACACGCAGGGCGGCCGGTCCATCCTGACGACCAGAGCCCAGACGGCGGTGAGAGGTGGTGACGGAGGAAGCAGGCCTATCTGGGCGGAGGCAGCATATACAATGGGACGTGTGCAGACAGCGGGCAGGTTTCCTGATCCCCCACCACCACACGGGGAACTCACTGGACAAGTGGAGAAGATGGCTACAAGGGCCACTGGAGAGAACCTGAGGGCCATCTGGGCGGCCTCCCTGGCAGGCTTCCCCAGGGCCAGAGGACACTGAGGAGCACGGCTGACTGGGGAGTCTGAAAGAGGAGCTGCACAGACAATAAAAGAAAAAAAAGGACACCACCACAGTCTCAAGTCAGGTGCCTGGAACCCAC